GTTACTGCGCATGCATTGGTGAAGAACTGGCAGTGAGGCCGGTTGTTGCTGTGGAAGCAGCCATGCACAAGGTGATATCGATGCTGCAAAGTAAAGGTCACAAGTTGGTGAAATTCAATATCCCTGATCCCGACAAACTGATAAGCATGTCTTCGACAGCCATGTTTGCTAATGGCGGTGGCACTCTGCATAAAGCGTCTCAGAATGATCCAGCCAACTCCAGGCTTCGGAAACTTTGCTTCGCCCTCTCATTGCCTGTTTTTATTCGTCGCTCAGTCGCATGGCTGATCCACAGGTTTATAAGTAGGCCTATTGGTGCTGCAATTCGATCATCAACTGGTTGTCAAAGCACGCAGGACGTTCTGTTTCTTCTGAAGGAAATTAATAACTATCAAGTAGAATTCGCCAAGGCCTGGTCAGAGGCCAAACTCGTTGTCTTAATATGCCCGGGGATGCCGTTTCCCGCGCCTCTTGACACCACTCCTGATATGCTTATTTCCGGTTTAACCAATTACGTCCTACTCTACAACGTCCTTGACTATCCGGCTGGAGTTCTTCCTGTGGCCAAGGTGAGTGCGGCAGACGTCAAAGCGTCAAAAGACGCAGAGGAGGAGTATCGTCGAAAGGGAGATTGGTTGAACGCGAAAATATCGAGTCAGCAGGAGGGTACACAGGGACTGCCGATTGGGTTGCAGGTTGTGGGTAGGCCGTTGTGTGAGGTGATCGTACTGAGAGTGATGCGTGAAATTGAGCGCGGTGTTTCAGAGGCGTAATTTGTGTTTTTTTTTGTTGCATGCTCTACTTTGTTGACTCTCTGTCTTAGTCTTTAGCCTATAGCTACTTGCTTAATATAATAGAATTCATTTTTTTGTAAATCTTGTCGATCTGGTTTCATATGTAGGGGAAGTTGGGTTTGGTGTCGTGGGTGGTGTTTTTTCATGCTGAGGGTGATCGTGTTGCTGATAGTTGAGAGGTTGGACATTGTTTAAAGCGATTTTGCTTTGCTTGCTTTACTTTGTTGCCTCACTATGCTTGACTTTAGCTTTGAACTACTCGCTTAATATAATAGAATTCAATTTTTCACAAATCTTGTATATTCGTTTTTATATATATGAGAAGTTGGATTTGAAGTTATGAGTGTTTTTTGAGGGTGGTCGTTTAGCCGATAGTTGGGAGGCTGGGCATCATTGGTAGTAATTTCAATAGAACTAGTATTTAGTCAATGTGTCATGAATACTTGAGTGCGACAACCACGATTGTTTGAATGTTGATTGTGGCACGAGTGCGCTCTGCTTAACGAAATTGTGGTTACGTCAACGTAGTGTGGCATTGTTGAGGCGCCAGTATCTTCCGTCAGTGACACCTGACAACCTGTACGCGTATTATTTATTGATTTGTCAAAAGTCAGGACTTGGGAGTAAGTGTCCCTCAAAAATTTAGATATTATTTTCTGGTATGATCTTGGTTTATTCCAGTGGTTTTTACCAGTCACTTTGTCATATTCTTTAGTAATTTACTGGACGGTGTGAATCGGTGGATGTGAATCGAGGTCTAAACGTAACCTCAAAATGGGATTCTAGTTGTCACGATGAGAATTGTACCATGGAAAAAACGGTGTCGTAGTTGGCACTGTTAAATCCCGTAGTCCACTAAGCGAGATTTGCTCTGAAGGCGAGAATCGTTGATCACATTGAAGAAGATGGTGTTTTGTCAAAAAAAAAACGAAAAAAACAGAATTCTTGGGTTTCTGTAAATGGCACTTTAAAGCCAGGCTTAATTTATTGAAATATCGCAGTGGCAACCACCTTGAGCGGTAGAAGCAAATTACGAAAAGTTTTGATGTCACATAAAGCGCACTTTTGGCTTGAATATCAACCATCTAACGCATTCTCAGGTAAAAGTACAAGGTCAGTTCCAAGTGGTTAGGGTTGGACACTGCAGTATGTGAGTTTTCATGTGTGTGTGTGTGTTGAAGTGTTGCGTAACACGCATTCCATTTGCATTTTGTTACCACCCACAATGGAACACTGATTGCACCAATAACACTTCTGCTAAGTGACCATTCACGAGGATAATTTAAAGTGCACTGCACTTGTTTGCCATCTCTGCGCATTGACGTAGCAGCACTTTTAGCATTACCAAAAGAGAACGACGCCCCATCGCGGTGGTGCGTTGGCATGAAAGCCCATCATTAATGGGATGTCGATGCACTGCTAACCTCACACAATTACCTCGGTAGTCCAGGCGACGAAAAGAGCATTTGTACCAGGCTGTTTCATCAAATGGGAAAAATAAAAATCCTGGTGGTCAGATTTCCTTAGAACACAGCCTACGTCAACGTATGAACACATGCCTTTCAACGCTTGCCCGCCGGTTTCAAAATGCACTTTTTTATGGAAAATTGTGACTGATAATTAAAAATATATTTCTTGTAACGAAAATTGTAAAAGTAAAAAAGTTGCCGTGGGCAGATGCCGTCAACCCAGTACATCGACGACGGAACAGGACATCCACTTGAAGAAGTTTCTCCTGTGTATCTGGAGGCTGGACATGAAGAGTGTACTTTATTACGAACTCATGGTAACTGATGGTCAGACGGTGACTGTGGAAGGCTACAGCCAACAATTGAGCAAATGTCCGTAGTGAACAGCACCTAAATGCCAGCTAGAAAGTTGGAAAACTAATTAATGGTCGGCAAGCCCGTAGCCAACAACAACCCCACCTTATCCGCGGCTATTGGCTGAAGTTAAGTCGACCCCACAATAGACCCTTCGTTGATTTATAATCAAATTTCAATTACACATACCGCATCTGAACCATTCTCATTCCCTCTTAACTTTCACTTCAACCGCCTTAAACTCTGACTCGATAAAGTCCACCTGCACAATAAACCGAGGACCTAATAACTGCATCGGACATAACGGTTCGTCACACCGTCGAAATTGCCTTCATACATCCCCATTCTTCACCAAACTTACTTTTTTATTTGCAATGAGAACAGTACATTTCAATGCGGAGCCCATTGTCATGCAGGCGTTCGCCACGCCAATTGCCTCAGAGCTCGATCCTGTCAGCTTGCGTCTATTTATGACCTTTTTCTCCGTTCTATACAGTACTCGTCAGTAGGTTAAAATGTCTTAAACACAGGACGCCTGCCTCTCTCCATGCTGCGCGGTAGAGCTGCGGTGCAAATGTTATAAACTTTATATTTCACTTTATGTTGGTCCCTTATTGCCTTTAAATTCGTGGTAAGAGAAAAGTCTCTACTAAATCCTTCTCCACTGTAATTAGACACATGTTATCTAATTTGGATACAATGTTTGTCGTGCGCATGAACTGCATTCAAATGGCTGGGGAGTATATAATGTGATTGAGTGCAGTTTTTAATCTCAAGTTCGAACTGCAGTTTATCTGGTAGATGTCGTAATGTTGTCGTTTTATCTTGATTTATCGCTAACATATTTTGCACTTGTTTACTTACACTTGTCCTAAAATCTATTTCATATTTCCTAAAATCATGTTGATTCATGTCTTCTGGTTCTGAACGCTCTTATGCGTAGAAATGGTGGTCTTGTAAGTAGTCAGTAAGCAGTATTTTAACGTTCATTATTGCAAACAATTTTCTAGCAATTAAGTATCCTCTGCGCATTAGGTTTCTGGCTACTTATCAAACCCGTGAGATAACTGAAATTGTGTTCAAAGTTTTTATTGTTCTGCTTGATTATATCCAGTTGGTTGTGCCGATCGTCGTAGTTGAGATTTGAACCCCCAATTTCAGAAACTATATTTCATGCTGTCCTCGCCAGATGGACTAGTTTGAGAATGTGGGCATCGTTTGGTTGCTCCGATTTTCCGGGAATCGTCTGTTCTTCAATCAAATCTCCACACCTGAGCACATTTTTTTGCGTCCACAGCAGTCGATAGAAGCATTGTTTCTGTAATTATTTAGTACCAAAAGGGACAGAGTGATCTACGACGATTTTGTTGCTATTTTGAAATGTTGGGCCAAAAGATATCGTTTTTCTCGTAATTCCTTTAACCTAGGCATCATGATTCCTTCAATTTTTGGTAAATTACGTTCGGCGAGGCGCACTGCTGAAGACAATATCCCAAAGGAAGTGGACCTGATTACTTTTGAGGAGATCTGTGATCAGATTCGCAATATTGAGAAAGCCGTTGCCAGAAATGAGCTCTTTTTCATGGGCCGAGTGCTTCGTAGCATCCTTCCGATTCGTCGAAGGCTCAGTAACATCGTTTTGCGTGGTTTGGCCTACGCCTACATTTTTCCACAGTCTCAACTGTGGTCATACTTTATGGAATACCTTCCTGAGGTAGGTTGAGTTAAGCTGATTTTCTTTTCCAAATAGTTAATGAATGTTCCACCGAAATTCGACTACGGAGAGTTTTGCATGCCGATCTCTCTTCTCCCAGAAGTCGTGGTTTACCTCCATCTGTTGCTGCTCATTTATCTAATAGACAAAAATGACATTAGGAAGGTATGTTTAGCCTTACTGTCTTGTCTCTGAATTTTATTTGCTCGTGTTGGGCTTATTTTTCATTACCTGCAGGTGTGATGTTAAGAGCAGAAGTGGCAAGTCACGATGCAAACATATCATTGTGCGTTGTGACCTCGTGCTTTCGTACCATAATGTAACCCATTGTAGCCAATAATAAGGCAATTTTTGGACACGTTGAACCCACTAAAAATGTTTAAAA